ACTGCTAATACTCGCTTAAACGCTTATACAGCGTGACCCATACACTAGGCAGCTTGAGCGTAGGGGTGTTGCAAGTGTCCAAGGTGGTAGTGAGGAGAGATTCCCATATAAAAACAGTTTTTCGATCCTTGCAGCTCTTGAGCATAACCGCTTGGGACCATAGAGGGTTGTAACCCTGCTCAAGTACCTTCCTTGCGAGCTCGTTTGTGTGTCTTCCCCTCCTAACATCGTCTTGGTGCTCATCAAGGCGGCTGGAAAGCATTCTAGTGGTGGCCCCGATATATCTTGTGTTTACTCCCGTTGCCTGATTTTCCAAAGGTACAACATAGACCCCCGATTTCTCAAGAGTGGAAAATTTGTCTCTATCATTACAAATAAGTTTTCGTAAGCTTGGAAGTGGGGTTAAAGGTAGTACAAGGTTGTGCTGCTTAAAGATTCTGCAGATGCGTAAAGATAGGGGTCCAAGGTAAGGCAACGCTATTTGTACCTTTGAAGACTCTCTCTTGCTGCATAAAGTAGTACTTGGAAACAGTTCTTTCTTTACCTTATTAAGCACATGTGTAAACTTTTCACGTGAAAAACTTTTTGGTAAATATCTGTATTCGGCTGAGGACGACGACAATAAGTTCGTTGAAAGTGCTAGCGATAAAAAAAAACGCATGTAACGCTGAACTCAGTGTATTTGTTTTTGTTATTATATATTAATTTGGCGTGTTAGTCATCCTATTGATTACTGTGAACAATATTCCCATAAGAAAATCCTTCCTTTAAGAAGGTTATCTGTTTTTAACAATTTGAAGTGACTTGATAAAAATTCAAGCTGTTTTTTTAATTTATTTTTAGACAAATCGCCAAGTTTAATTATTTGATCAATACCCTTTCAGATTTCCACGCACGTAGTTCATAAAAAATATTATGTTTAATAAAAAAATCACCTTTAATTTAGAATAAATATAAAATTGGCACATATATAATTAAAGATTATTAATTTAGAAATTTGTAGTGGAATGCGATTAATGTTTGAAAAATTATACGTTTTAAATAATAACTGTGTCAGATGTAAAAAGACAACTGTTGAACAGAGAATAAAAACTGAAAACCCATTGTATTTTTGCAAACATTAATTAAGTTAAATGGAGGTTTTTTTTATGTAACTACTTGAAAACAAGACGTATTTGATTGTTTTGGCCAAAACCGTTTTGCTCACAACAATTCACTGGAGTTTTCAATGCTGAAAACAAATACAATTAGTACAAATCTGTTGATGAACAACTAAGTGTATGTGACGTAGTTTTCGCTTCATAGAAAAACATGCATCACTCATAATATCCTACAATTTAATTTACATTTATACAACTATCTAAAAATGACGTAATACTCGTGTATAATCATAATAATAGTTACAATTACAGAATAGTTTCCTTACCAGAAAAGACAAGATAAAATAATCCTGTATTTCTAAATTATACGTACAATTAACAAAAAGGTTAACATTAAATACACTATTAGATTAGTTGTACACGTATTACCTGAAAATCCACTTCAGAAGTAAACCTAATAGCGTTTTGAAAAAGCATAACAAATAACAATGTATAACTCATAACAAGTCCGATTTGGCTTCCTGCTTCATCTAAAGTTGCAATTATAAATTCAGAATTGCATATATATTATACATTATACACAGCTAAATAAATCTATTTACTCACCTGGATGAATAGATACACTGAAAATAATAACAGTAATAAGTAAATTTATGTAACAAACGATGTTACCATATACAGCCAGGCATCGATTTAATGAAATGTAAATGATCCAAGTTGCAGTGTGCTTATCCTGATATTCATTAAAAGTGGAAATAAATTTATTTTTAGCGTTAAATGCTCTAATTGTTGTTAGTCCATAAAGAGATACGCTGAGATGAGAAAATACCGGACTTCTTGCTGTTAAAAAAATTTAATTATTTGAGCGAAACTTTATTAAATATAACAACTGTTTGCATATTGTATTTAAAAAAAGCAAATGAAAAGTAATTCTCGTTTAAAAGAATATCATATGTTCCAGAAGCTGCTAATTAAAATTGCATATACAGTAGAGCCTCGATTATCCGACTCAATTGGGGACTGGGGTTGGTAGGATAATTGAAAAGTCGGATAACCGAAAAGTATGGAAAAATTCATTATTAGTGTAGTATATTATTATATCCCATGTAATTAGTATATTAGTATATCGCTATTAACCTACTTTGAGTTGAATTTTCATCGATGTTAAGCCTAACAAAAATTTTTTTAAATAATAATCGTCGCTATTGTATCGTTAAAAATTAGAAAATTAAGCCTCGTTTAAATACTGGCTCCCTTTCATGGTCGAATGAGTGTTGCCAGCTAAAACACGTAAAAATAATATTAAAGTAGCCAAGACATAGCCAAGTATTGTAGTGCCACATCACTAGCGGACATTTGAAATTTGCCAACTAGGACGGTCGGTTAACTGAGGTGTCGGTTAATCGGAGGTCGGTTAATCGAGGCTCTACTGTAATATAATACAAACTGAACATCGTAACCTTTAAGGAAAAAAAATGGAATTGAAAACAAAAGATGCATTCCTAAATTCTTTGATACTGAACACACAACAAAGTGCTAAGCACGCTTTTAAATTGCTTTTAACTTGTTTGCAGAGAAAATGTGCAATAAATTATGTGTATGCTTTTTGTATGAACATGTTGTACAGAAATTGCTGATTATAATTTGAACTTTCATTATAAGCTCTAACAACAAGAAAGTACATTTACGATCAAAAGCATTTTAGCTGCTGGAACGTTTTTGTTAGATTAGTCTGGATGCAATTTGTCTTACACTTTATTTCGCACACTGGATTGACTAAAATCTTGATCCACGTGAAGAATATCTTTGTGGTCAAACATGTCAACAACAAGTCCATTCCAACATGCTCCAGTCTTGTTGTTTAATAAAAATATCCGCATGTAACAACTAAGAAAACTATCACATGATGTACAATAACCGATTGTCTGCTTCTTCCTACAATAATGATATTCTTTTCAAAAACGTGTTACTAAAAACAGCATTAACCAACTAATGTTGTGGAGTGACATATTTTACAAGTATTGGGGTACTTTCTCTTTAAACAAACGATTTGAAAATAATAATGTTGTAATTCGTACACTGAACAGCATTGAGTAAAAGTTTAAAATTGTATATGACTCGCGGTATATTTTCGATTTAGCAATATCTATTACAAACAAAACTGAACAAATTTCTGGAATATTTGTAGTAAGCAAATTCAAATATATGTAATGTTATACAAGTAAAAATTTTCTAGATTTTTCAAAAAATTCCGATTTTGACACTTATGGTTAAAAGTCATTTTGCCGTAAGCAAATAATAACGGGTTAACGCTCTCTCGCTCACATCGAGAGAAAAATTTCGAAAAATTCCTTCTTAGTACTTCTTAGTGTACATTTTTATGACATCCTAACTGTTTACCAAATTAAACTTTCAACTCCTAATCGTTTGAACTCAGAGATTATTTCTTTCTTTCTTCTTCTTCGATGGTGTTTATATGGAGATTATAGCTCAATGTAGGCTCTTTCTCCGAGACTCAGAGATTATTATTATTATGTTGGGTTTTGTGAGTTATACTCGGTTCACACCGGTGGCTGTGTACTATGCCGGACCAGAGTCAAGGCATAGCAACCAAAACAAAACCAAAATTAAATAAGTGTGTCAGTATGTGTGTGTCTGTATTCAGAAATTTCCTAACAATGTGGCATGCATTCAATATAATAGCCTTCTGTAGTGTGATATATGTATTTCTATTCAATTGTAATGTTCCCAGGCTTTTGTATAGTNACTCAGAGATTATTATTATTATGTTGGGTTTTGTGAGTTATACTCGGTTCACACCGGTGGCTGTGTACTATGCCGGACCAGAGTCAAGGCATAGCAACCAAAACAAAACCAAAATTAAATAAGTGTGTCAGTATGTGTGTGTCTGTATTCAGAAATTTCCTAACAATGTGGCATGCATTCAATATAATAGCCTTCTGTAGTGTGATATATGTATTTCTATTCAATTGTAATGTTCCCAGGCTTTTGTGTAGTGTGTGTGGTATCACACCTGTACAGGAGAGAACGACAGGTACAATAAACACCCTACCCATCCTCCACAGATGCCTGAATTGCTGGGCGAGTTCTGTGTACTTGCTAATTTTTTCAGTGCATGTGTTTTGTACATTGTGGGTGTTTGGAATGGCTATGTCTATAATGTATGTGATTTTATTGTGTTTGTCAATGAGTGCGATGTCTGGTCTGTTGTGACAAATTGTTTTATCTGTGATTATGACTCTGTTGTAGTACATTTTGTGCGTGTTGTTTTCCAATAATGTCTGTGGAATATACTTATAGTATGGCTCGTGAATGTCTACCAAGTTGTGTTACTTTGCAAGCACTTGGTGTATTATATTTGCTACTTGATTGTGTCTATGTAAGTAATCTGTCTGTGCCAAGAGCTTGCAACCAGAAATGATGTGTTGTATAGTTTCTGGCATGATGTGGCATTTTCTGTATGTGTCATTTGTTAGTGTTGTATCTTTGAGTATGTGTTTTCTGTAGTTTTTTGTATTTATGACCTGATCCTGTATGGCAATCACGAATCCTTCCGTCTCCCCAAAGAGGCATTCCCAATCTAACCTGCTATTTGACACAGCTTTGTCGACAAAATCCTGGGCCAGGTCATAAGGATGCCTGTCATGGAGTGCCTTTCGAGCCCACGATTGCTTGATGGTGTCTATGCTTTTTATGTGTTGTGTTATGTAGGTGTGATGTGAGTGTAAGTTTAATGGTGTGCTATTTGAGTCTGCAAGAGTTACTGCTATATGTAATTGTGATGTTTCTTGTTTCCTGTAGAAAAACTCTCGCAGTGACTGTATTTGTTTGTAGTGAAGGTTAATTAAGTATATCAATCAGGCCACGTCCGCCATCTTTACGTGGAAGGGTTAATCTTTCTATGGCAGATTTAGGATGATGTTGTTTATGCTTAGTGAGTGTTGTTCTTGTTTTCCTTTGGAGTTGCTCAAGATCTGTGTGAGTCCAATGTATAACTCCAAAAGAGTATGTGAGTACTGGGATGACATATGTGTTAATTGCTTTAACTGTGTGTTTTGCATTTAGCTGTGTTTTGAGAATGGCATTTAACCTACTTTGGTATTCTTTAATTAATGTTTGCTTTATTTGTGTGTGTTCTGTTAGTTTGGCCTGTTGGAAACCTAAATACTTGTAGAACTCGCCCTCTTCCATGGATTCAATAACGTCTCCATTTCCAAGTGCAAAATCTTCTTTCTTGAGGATTCCTTTTTCTATGTGAAGTGTTTTGCATTTGTCTAAGCCAAACTCCATTTGTATGTCCTTGGTGTATGAATGTGTGATTTGTAGGAGTTGATGAAGTTGTTTCAGTGTGGATGCATAAAGTTTTATGTCGTCCATGTACATGAGATGTGACAGAGTAAACTGTGTTGTTTTTTCATGTCTGATATTGTAGCCATGTTGCGTGTTGTTTAACATGTTGGATAATGGGTTCAGGGCTAGGCAGAACCAGAGAGGACTCAAGAATCTCTTTGAAAAATTCCTCGCCTAATGAATATTTCGTTTGGTTGTATTAAAGTGTTACTAACCCTGAGATGTAGTGTTGTTCTCCAGTGCTGCATAGTGTTTTGGAAGAATGCAATGAGTGACGGATGAATTTTGTACATGTGTAGAATATGTAGCAGCCAACTGTGCGGAACACTGTTGAATGCTTTTCTGTAGTCTATATATGCCATGTGTATGTTTCTGTGTTGTTTGTGTGCTTGCGTAGAATGACTGAATCTATGAGTAACTGTTCTTTGCATCCCCTGTGATTTCTACGGCAACGTTTTTGTTGTTCTGTAAGATTGTCTTGTTCTTCAACATGTTTGTATATTTTGTTTGTGATACAGGATGTCAATAATTTGTAGAGTGTTGGAAGACATGTAATTGGTCTGTATTGTGTGGGGTCTGTGGTTTTGCTGTTTTTAGGTTTCATGTAAATGATGCCCTGAGTAAGAAATTTTGGCATGTCTTGTAGGTTGATGATGATGTGTGTTAGATGTTTAGCTAGTTCCTGGTGCAGTGATGTAAACTTTTTGTACCAAAAATTGTGAATGTTGTCTTGCAGTTGTGTGTTCTGTTAACGGCGTAGCAGATGTCGTGTGTACGTTTATTTCAGCACAGAGCATAGTTGGTATGTTGTGCAAGTTTCTGTTCTCCTCCTCAATCCAACCTGCATCAGCATTGTGTGTAACAGCATTGGACCAAAGAGAAGACCAAAAAGTTGTGAGTTGTTCTGTTGGTGTGCCACTGTGCTGTGTATCGGTGTTTGTTTTGTTACTGATTTGTCTGTAAAAAAGTTTTTCATTGTTTGTGAATAATTTATTTTGTTGTTTTCGTAGTGTACATGTTTTCGTATCGTTTGAGTCTACGTGCTTTGGCTGCAAGTTTTTGTTTTAGTGTATCGATGTATTCTGTAATGTGTTTGTTGTGATGTTCATGTTTTGTGTGTGTTTTGATTTTCTTGAAAATGTTTTTTAGTTGTTTCTTTAATTTGGGTGTTATGTTGTTTTTAGTGTATTGTGTCAGCCTGCCTAATTGCTGTCTAATGTCGTTTATTTGTGTTTCTATTCTTCTCTGCCAGGCAGGCTTGTGATAGAATTGTGTTTTGTGTGTGTTTGTCTGCGATTGTATTTTCAGTCCATAATGTGTTACTACTGTGACTGGCCCAGCATAAACTAAAGTATGAATGTCTGAGAGGATAGAAATTGAATAAATGTAGTTTGGTAGCATGTCAGTGTTTACATAATTTAATGTTTTCCCTACTACCTTTGTCTTGTTGATTTTCGGTATTCGTGGTCTTTGTGTCGGATCTGTGCCTGTATATTTAGTAAGTGTTTCCTGAAATATAAGTGAGAGCGTATTAACTAATGCCATGTCTACATTATCAGAAATGGATGAGGAAGTGCCTGTAGCATCATTAATCATAGTTGTTGTATGTGTGCTATTATCAATGCTTGTTGCTGGATTTTCCTGACAGGTTACGTGATCTTCATTAATGTTAAATGTTTCTTTCTGTTGATGTATTTGATCAGCAAATAATCCAACAACAAGCATTGATAATAGCACACATACAACAACTACAATTAATGATAATACAATTAATGTTTCTGTCTGTTTATGTATTTGATCAGCAACATGTTGTTTGATAAGTTCAAGTGTTGTTTGTGGAATAAGGTTGTTGTGTATAACTGTTCTTTTTTGATCGACAACCCTTTGTTCGGTGACAGTGAGGTGAGGATATTGCTGTGTTAATCTATGGTGTAGTTGTTGTCTGTAAGCTATCATGTTTGTTTCGAGTTTTGTGATTGCGTAACAAGTATGGATGATAAACTCGTTCATTTCTGATGTACATTTCATTCGTTGGCGTGGTTTTCCAGCCTTTGTGGTCTGTGGATGCATTGCCACAGAAACACCAAGGCTAGGTTGATTCTTCACATCTGTTGAGGGCATTGCAGTAGCCATGCTTGGGCCAGCGCTGCTTTTGTCACCAATAACCAAGGAGACTGTGCCCTGTTTTTCGTACGTGAGCCTCTGCCTAACCCATGAACGCGGACCTTGTTAACCCATGAACGCGGACCTTGTTAACCCGGGCGACGTCCGAGCCGGTATCACACTTTTATCTGGTTACTACCATAATAATTATCTCCACAGAATGTGGGTGTGGTCACTCTTAGCTTCATTTCTCCCCATAGACCTTACTGGCGTCGGTGACCCTACCAGGATCTTGTGCTCCAGCCTGCATTGCTCTATGGTTCAGTAAAATTAATGGGCTCTCCCACCGCGACCAAGTGGTGACTACAGGAGAGTTATTATTGAAATGCAATGACGGGAATCCAAAACTCCTCTGTCATATGTTAGTAATTTTGTTGTTTTATCTGTTTGTTATAGGAAAAACTAAAGTCAATATGATTTGTAGAGAGTGTAGTAAGAATTGAATGATTTGATAGATTGTCTTATATAACAACGAATTTCTGCGTAATTGTTTTGTGTAATTAATGATTTTACTGTTAAAATTAACTGCATATATTCACAAAACGTTAAGTAATGAGTAGTGAAAAAATTTTATGCTATTCAGTTAAATAAAATAAACTATAAGATTTCTATACACTTACATTTTCCTTCAATAACTTTTATGCTGTTCAGCACACGGCTGTGTATTGTCCACATAGCGTAAAATAAGATTGAAATGACAAATATCAATATGAAAACATAAGGACAGAGGATTGCTTGAAGAACACATGTTCCAGCAAACAGAAAGAATGCCTAAAATATAATAATATAAATTGCTAATAAATAGAAATTTATCTGTCATTTCAATATAGTATAAATTATTTCAATTATTGCTATTCATATCTGAGCCGTCGGGCCTATCTACGGGCCTGAGCAGAGAATTGAGCGAATTTCGCGCAAAATTACGACTTTGTAATTTAATTTCTTAACGCGATTGTTATAAAACAACATCGCTCTAGATTGAATCAGATGACGTTCTCTCTACAAATACGGAGAGGAGTTTTTGTAAACGAAGAGTCATACAAAACGGAGAGTCCTACGATAGAAAAACATTTAACTGTAAAAAAAAGTCAGCTGCTATTAAACGTCAGCGGAAGAAATCTATGCTCGCACCTTGGAATGAATTTGCGTCATATCAATAGCCGATCACATGATCATTTTCCCAGGTATCAAGCGTAAAATTTGGAGACACCGAAGTTCCGGGCGGTCTTCCCATCCGAATCCGAAGGAAGGTGAATAGATTAATTAGTGCCATGATGAATCGACGACTAGATGCCAAGTTCGACGGATCTCCACAAACGAACTGTCCAGGCCCATGCAAGTCAACGAAAAAGGACCCACCATACGATTACCAATCCTCTTCGAATTCCTCTCTCTCCGATCAAACGAACGTCATATGATTTGACCAACGAATATTGAGGTCTTGATATATATAGATTCTTATAAACTCTCTCTCAGCCGAAATAGCGACAAAGCTAGGTCATTAGGTCAGCACACGAGCTGATTAGAAATTTTTGTCGATCCACTCCATAGGAGTGTATATGTAACTTCATTTAACCGCATCTAATCTTAGAATTAGTTATATGTATCGTAGGTTTAGTTGTGTAATAAACTTTATTTTGTTAATTGTTAAATTTGTACACCTGTCTTACGCACCAAAAAGAACACCTATCGACTTGCTTAACAACCCCACTACTCGATAAAAAGCCATCCAAACGACAGAGTGGACGAGTTTTACAAACTCGACGTGAAAGTGGTAATTAGGATACTGACTCTGCCACTCGTAATCTCACAGATATGTAAATGAATATGAAATTAAACGACATAGTAACTATCCCTTTTAGCATTTCAATGGAAATCCATCGCAACACGCGACAAGTTCATCATTATTCAAACATTACTGGTAACTTAAAATTTTTTCGCCAATACTTACAAGACAATATTAATGAATTTATTATATAATAGCTTATTTATTTAATTAACACTAGAACGTGACAACAATCATTATGACTGTTGTTGAGTGTTACTTATTTGCCAAATTGATGAAATTTGTGAGAGAAAACTGAAATATTTTTTACGTTTTTTGAATTTCAATGTTTTACGCGGCCACCGACTTCTATATTCGAAATACGAGGCCGTCCTGAGGTATAAATGTCTTTACTTACAACCGTAAAAGTAGCAATTTTGAACGCTGATTTATTTTGTTACTTTATATTCCTGTTCTTTAATTTATTTACTTCGTTTCACGTGCGTATATATTTAGGCTTGTGAATATCAATCCTTTTTTAATCTAGTTTTAGTTGCTTTCTCTGTGTCTTTTATTAGGACAATTATTCGTTTCAGAATCGATAGAATTATTCACATATATATGCAAAATATGATAGATTTCTTTATTTTCTGTATACTGGAGATGAAATTGCAAGTAAGTTAGCAAATATTTCCAAAAATAAATTGGAGGGTAAGTAGAAATGAGTCTTATATGTCTGTGAGCCAGCGAATTTTTGCGGGTCTTTTAAAAATTTAAATTTTCTTGTTAATTAACTTCGGAAAAAACCCGAAGATTTTGTACTAGATCGGATACACAACTCGCTGAGGAAGTTTACAATTAGGTGTGAAAAATGCACCGTCATCGTCAACAAGAATCGATGACGTGTCAGCTCTCGCACGAAAAAGTATAAAAGCTCGAATCTCCGTAACCTCAAGGCGATTCGTCATAGGAAGTTGTACTTAGTAATAGTGTCACCGAAACTCCCAAGCCTCCATTCAGCGGACCCGATCCAGCTATAGAGAGAGGACCTCGAATAGAAGACACGGAAGACACCACATCCTGAACGTTCGCGAATTCGCCCTGCCACCGACAGATATTTTGGGGTATATAGGATTTGTAAGCGCTCTCTCCCGAACTCGAAATTCGTGCTCGAATTTATGTAAATAGTAGAGATAACCGCTTTTAACCTCTTGTAGTGCTTAGTTGAGTATATAATAAATGCTTGTTTAGTTTTAAACCTGTTTCCTGTCATTTAAGGACGCCTATCAACTTGCTCACCTCCCTCCCCACTCGAACTGCCCTCCTAGCCATCAGACGACGCCGAGATCGGGTTTTATCAACCTGTTGCCGAGTAAGTGGTCAGTGGGAGATTGATCACTGACTCGCGGTTTATCTCACATGTCTATTCTAACAAAATCAGTGCTAAACTGGATAGCGATGAGATCGATTGTGATAAACAACAGCATTTGACTTAGCTTAATATACCTCTCACGAACGAACAAGCATCATTCTCTATACAAAGACGTATAACATATCATTTGATAATTTTTTGAGTATGCTGCTTATTACTGGTTTAAGAGATATACATGAAGTATTTTGTTATATAATAATTATAATTACTACTCTGCGGGTTAATATTACTGTCATTGCCTATGTTTTAACGTTAAAAAACTACTTTTATATATTTACAGGTACTCTTCTCTTAGACAGTTAGAAGAATATTTCACTGGTGTAGTTTGCAGTGCTTGCTCTTCTATTATACGAATCACATATAGTTCCTCGAATCTGAAAAGGAAAACCTTCCGATTTTTCAAACTACTAATGTAATACTGTTCCTACTATTGCATAATATTCCAGAAAGCTACTTTTGGTACAATTACTATATAAAATCATGCTTCAAATTATAAAAAGCACACAATTGAATAGTAGCGGTTGTAAGCATACAGAATGTCTTGTCAATGTCAAATTTATATAAAAATATCTTTTGATTGCATATACAGTTAACTACATCAAACTCAACTAACAGAGAGTAAACATTGTCTGAGTTTATTAGTATCTCAATTGACAATATTTTTATTTATAACTAGCTGTTACCAGCGGCTTTGCCCGCGCGGATTTTGCAAGCAAACCCCATTTATATTCAGTATTTCAACAACCATAGTAATTGTTATATAACACCTACCGCTGAGAATGATGAAAATTGCCGAGAATAAAACAAACTATTTTCAATTTGATAAACTTTCTGGAACGTTTACAATCTTTCTATAATAAAACCAATATACAATAACAAATTCGAACTTAAAATGGTTCAAACATTTTTAAAATCGAAATACATAAAAATATTTATAACAATGTCTGAAATGTTATTAATTTAATACACCTAAATACTCGATGAAAACTAAATCCTCTCCCTCTCCTGCCCGCGGGGGAATTTCGAAAAATCCCTTCTTAGTGTGCATTGCCATGGCCTACCCTACTAAAACGCAGATAAAAACAAAAAATCGCATCTAAAATAGTACAGTAGAAGCCGTTCTTCCGGTTAAGCCTTAATTCTCTCTCTCTCCCCCCTGGGGAGAATTTTGAAAAATCCCTTCTTAGTGTGCGTTTTCATGACGTACTCTGTGTGCCAAATTTCACCTCTTTAGATTCAGCGGTTTGCTCTGGGCGATGATGAATCAATCAGTGACTCAGTCAGTCAGGACAAGTAATTTTATATATTTCGATGTTAAGAAAAATATTATTGTATTAAGATAGGCTCTATTAATAAGTTTTTTAAACTAAGATTATATTTGAAAGGAACTAATAAACTTTGACAGTTCTATATACAGCAATATACATTATTTATCGTCCTATCTGAAACAATTATATAGGAAATGGTTTTGCGCTCTTTTATATATAAAAATGCACATTACTTATGAGTTTTTAATGGAAAAATTTTCAACTACTGTTTTCTAAAAAATGTATATGGGTTGAGCAAAATCTGAGTTAGCGTGGAGTTTACTGTACTGTACAGTTTTTTTTATTTTAGGGTTATAAGAAGCAGTTTAAGTTTTATAGAACTAATAAGCGAAACTACTTTATTGACTCTTTCCACACTTTTGACAATAAAAGGGCCTTTTTTATTTAGCCTATGCTCAAAATACCTGGCATTTATTGACTTTTCTGTAGCTGATCTTAGGTTCATGAACAGATTTCGTTTGATACCTAACTGGCTCAGCTGTCAATGAAAATAACTCTATGTGAAAAATATGATTATGACCATTTTTACAAATATTCGCACATATATGCAAAACATGTCTCATTAATAAGTTATGTTTTTTAGTGCATCGCCTATGTAACACTAATCAGACTAAAACATGCATAGGCTCTATAAACACAAAGAAACTATATATTTAAAGATTAGCACTGTCATGAATTTAATGTACACGTGAAGTCAGCTGCAATTTATTGGTTCTGATTGAAACATAGCGCAGATTAGCTGTGGAAGTCATTCCAGTTTTGCATAATAATAATGAAAATCCACCCGAAATTCTCAAAATCTAAAGAAAAAGAAGGTTGACAAAAAGAGATAAATTACCGTGCAACAATTTCATTCCAAAAAAGTTACACCAATGTCAAACTTCAAAGACACGATAAAAAGATTCTTGTTCATGAACACTCCCGTGTTATACTATTTTTTTTTCCAATTTGTATTTGTTTCGGTAAAAGAGTTAATATCAATGACGTAGTTGAGGAAGTTAGCCAAAACATAAAAATTTCGATACAGTGTTGCTGACAAGATTTTACAAAAGATTATTAATGGCTGGGATAAATGCATCAATTCTCAGTGATTAGGATAAAAAGTAGCATACACTGCATGCTTCATTTGCTGAATTTCACGATGCTATAACAAAGTACAGGCTATGAAATTCCTAAATACAGTTTAGTAACTGCATATCCCGCATAGCTGTTTATTATTTAACATTCATTTTACACACATTTAAATATATAAAATTATGTAAACTTACTTTCAACAATTGGTGAGCATTGTTAGGTAAAATGTCATCTACGTTATTCACATCTTTAGAAAATCGATTTAGAACATTTCCTAAAAATATCAGTATAACAGATATTATTTGAATTAAAAACTTATGTAAAATTTATGTATTGGATTAAAATTATTATTTATACAACATATACAACATAGCATATCTGTATGATTTACAGTTGTCACCTTGACATTTTTTTTCATACCTGAAGTTTTTGTACAATGTACATAGTTATGTTCGTAAAGTATTTAAATAGAGCAATGAAGCTATAATTATGTAAATGGACTTATGAAACAAAATGCAGTACAAGATCTCATATATCTTCCAAATACAGTTTAACAGGATTTCAATAGAATTTTGAAAAATAGGTTTTTCAATAGGTTTTGAAAAATGCTTTTCCTAAACTTCCTTTGCATTCATATCCAACATCGCTTGCATATCACATCTTATTACTGAAAATGGCTTTTGTTCTTTTTCTGAATTTTTGTTGCATTCTAACACATGTATTCTTATTACTATCTGCTTTCGTATATTATATCAGAAATAGGAATAAGTAATGCATATATTATTCACAGATAAATTATATTCTTGGTGATAATGAAACAACATATTAAGCTTTTGAGTGAAATATTTTCAGTATTTTATCCAAAATATTTTATTTTCAAATCTCATTGAGCATTATTTAACTTATTATAAAATTAAAATTAATTTATTAAAAAGTTTACTAATCCATAAATTTTACATACCAACAGGAATTTTATCCAAAAATGAAATTGGAGTTCGAATAATACATTGAAACATATTCTTGTGCAGCTTCAAAGATGCAGCAATGAAAAAATTATACAATAGTAATCCAGAAAGTATCATCATAAATAATACTGCAAATGTTAGTCCAAGGTAAACATATACATTATATTTGTCACTATAATATAAACCTTGGTCTTCACTATTGTTAAATATTGTTGAATTAAATTTCAGATTTTCAACATTATTTACATTTTTTGTATAGATCCGTTTGTTATACAACCTGAAAATTGAACAGAAAATAAAAATTAATTTACTGAATTATATATTTGTTCAACAAGCAGAAATACAATAACACTACTTAAATCCATTGAAAAAGGCAATACCATTCAGTAACATGGTCAATTGGTAAAACATTTTCGTAAATCAATAAAATGATTTAAATGAAAATTTAAGCTACATTATCATAATTCAGCATTAAATGTTGAAGTGTGAACATTCTTGTTATCTCTTACATTGTGGCTGTAGCTTTTACAGGTGATGCGTTTGTCAAGGAAAATACAACAGAAGACAGGTAGAAAACAATTTAACAAGATGGAAATGAAGATGCTGTTTCAAATTGTTATTAAATATAGAATGAAACTTGTAGAATACTCGAGTCTCCGTTCAAAAATGTGCCTTTACGGAGGTCTCCAAACGTGTAGATTTGTAAAAAAAACTTGGAGGTTCAAATTTGACACGATTCCAATACTTTTCCGTTTTATATACATAAGTTGGTAAGTAAAAAGGAGTCGGAGTCGGCGGATTTTTTGACGACTCTGACTCCGATTCCGACTAAAACACCGAAACTCCACGACTCCGACTCCGACTCCACAGCCCTGATTAAGTGTAAAGATGTTCGGAAAAAACCCGAAGAATTTGAACTAGATCAGAGGTCACCGATCGTAATAACAATTAGATGGGAAAGTTGACAGTTAGGTGTGAAGAATGCACCGTCTTCGTCAACAAAAGTCAATCACGTGTCAGGTTTTCCACGCGAATGAGATAAAAGCTCAAATCCCCGGAAGATCAGGGCAATCTCTCTGAAGTTATACTTCTCGATGTGTGCATCTCGTCTCCCGGATCTCCATACAACGGACTCGAACCGACGAAAGGAGAAGATACCGGCAGAAGACCATAGGAACTTCTACATAACACTTAATCGCCCCACATAGAGCTCTCTTGGAAATAAATATTTGAACCTGCGGACTCTCTCTCTCACTAATCGTATTTTTAGTTTAACCCTTTGAGAATAGAGTATAGTATGTTATCCGCCATTACTCTTAGTTGTATTTAACCGCATTTAACCTATATATATTGTTATCGCCTATGTATCCTAGCTTAGCTATACAAATAAATGCTCGTTTATTTTGTTAACCTGTCTCCTGTCATTTAAGAACAACTGACAACTGACTGACGCACTCCCCACTGGATTTACCCTCCTAGCCATCCAACCGACTCCGAGATCGGGTTATTCCAACCTGTGCAGAGTAAGTGGTCATTTGGGGATTAACCCAGTGACCCACTGTTTATCTCACAAAAATAGTAAAAGTAGAATAGGCATCTTTTTAAGGCAGAAAAAGAAACAAAGGAAAAGAGTGAACAAACTAATTAAATAGGTAAATGTCTCTTCAATCCGAACAAATCTTCGGTAGACTTTCTCACAGCTCTACAGGTTATAAAACTCCTTTATTGTTATTCACAGATGCATTTCGGGCAGGTTTAATTTTCCAGCCCCTCTTCTTAAATTAAACCTTCCCGAAATGCATCTGTGAAAAATAATAAAGGAGTTTTATAATCTGTACAGCTGTGAGAAAGTCTACCGAAGATTTGTTCGGATGGAAGAGACATTTACCTATTTAATACGTAATACAGCTACCATTAGAAAATTCAACACGAACAAACTAATGCATGGCAACCTAAGGAAAAAGAGCTGACTAGAGCTCAGGTAGCAAATCTATTCAATTTAAGTGAAATGAAAAAGGATAAGTTGACCCCTTTGCTGAACATAATATATATAAATACAAACAGGTGGTTGCAAAGGATGATTTTGAAGTGGGATATTGCAATTTCACCTAGCATAAGATAGATACAGGCAATAGTCCACCACTCTATCGAGCTCAGTATCGCATTCCATATGCATAGCGAGAAATTATGGATAAATTGATACAGGACATGACTGAAAGTGGACTAGCTGAACCATCAACCTTCCCATTGTCATAACGCTCGGGACGCCTCTTGCCCAATTAACCTGCGAATAAGGAATAACATCATATCTAAAACAGATTATGGACTTTGATAATACTAGCATACGTATTTTACAGATTAATCTGGGAAAAAGTATTTTAGCTTCCTCCCTTTTATCTAAGAATATTGATAAATATGATTTAATTTTGGTACAAGAACCTTATTGTAAAAAAAAAATATTCCTTCTTGCTTACCCACCTCTTGTCCTGTGCTGCGGGGATCTGATGTTTTTTATTGGGCAATTACTTTGATAGCTAATACTGATTTATGCATCATACAAATTTCTCTAGTAAATACCTAATCACTACTGAAGTTATGATTGATAAAGATAGATTTATAGTTATTAATGTCTACTTCCCAGGTGATTATGATGATAATGTTTTTATAGACGAGCTACATAGAATAGTGCATGCTTTTTGTGATACATGTATTATAATTGTGGGTGACTTTAACGCCCACTCCCAGCATGGGGCGGTGACGCTTTTGATTTGCATGGGGATATGCTGGAAGAGTTCTTTGCAGGTAATGATTTAATAATTAATAATCCCTTATCTCCCCTGACTTTCATCTCTAGTAGAGGGGAAAGTTGGATTGATATTGCTGCTTGTAGTACCAATTATCACCCTAAAATACAAGATTGGAGGATCCTAGATAAAGATAGTCTTACTGAACATGCCTATATCACCTTTAACTTGGTTAACATAAATAGTAGTTCAACATCCCCTTATCTTCCTCGCAATAAGTATGTTTGTAACCAGGCTAATTGGCAGGTTATGAAAAATTTTTTCGATGATTATCTTATTGATCAATATTCGGAGGACCTTTCTATTGTGAGAGAGCAAATTGATAAAAATATTGAGACTATCATTAATGCATGTGAGCTGTATATACCAAAGAGGATTGTACATAAGAAAAGTGTGCCTTGGTGGACCCCCGAGTTAAGTGTGTTGCGTCGTACAGCTAGAAAGTTAAGAAGAAAAGAAGAACTTACCAGCGTTGCACAGATAACAATGAAAGAATTTTGCATAAGGAGGCTTATCTATAAAGCCAAAGGCAATAAAAATATGTCATAACTAAAATTCAGAGCTGGCGTAACTTTTGTTCAAGAACTTCTGCTAATCCTTGGAGTTACATTACAAATATGTGTAGTAACAAACTTCGTAAAACACAAATTCTAACTACTAATACACAGGATACTCACCCTAAAACGCTTATTGAGTCTTTGACGTCACAACTTATTACATATTGCCCTAATGATGATCCTGTTACTGACAATAAATGGCAGCAACAAATACATAGTCAATGTAATAATTTGATTGATACTGAAAATATTACATCTTTTACTTTTGATGAGGTTAATCGTGCTTTTAAAACTATGAGCCGGGGAAAGGCTCCTGGTATTGATAATATTACTGATGAAATTGCTTTAGGATTATGGAATATTATTCCTACTTTATTTCGTAAAACATATAACACCTGTTTAGAATATTCTATCTTCCCATGCATGGAAAGTTGCGTCTGTTCTATGTACCTGTTCCTACGTTGGGTAAAGTTTTGGAGCGGTTAATTACTGAAAGAATTGTATGGTTTGTTGAATGTAACCAGAGCCTGAGTGAGGCACAATTCTGCTTCCTCCCGCAGCGTTCTGCGGAAGACGCAATTGAGACGGAGGTCAACCATGTTCTACATTTGCTCGAGACCCATAAATATGTTTTGGGGATCAGTTTGGATATTTCCAAAGCTTTTGATAGAGCATGGTGGCCCTTCATTTTATATCGTCTTCGTCAAATCAATTGCCCTTGTAATATTCTGAAAATCCTACAGGATTACTTGAAAGATCGTAGTGCCATTTTAAGATATGGTCAACATCAGGTTTGTAAAAACATCACTATTGGGTGTCCACAGGGGTCCGTGATTGGACCCCTATTATGGAATATGACCTTTGATGCATTTCCTCTCGAAAACTTTGAACACACAAATATTTGTGCCTATGCTGATGATGTATTCCTGCTTTTAGGTGGCAAGTCGAGGGCTGATATTGAATGTAATGCTAATACTATGTTCCAACATGTTTTTAACTGGGATATTAAACATAAATTCCTTTTCAATCCTTCAAAAACTAAAGCTAAAGTCTTTAATAAACCTAAACACCCCAATTTGTATCTTCACCCCCCACATATCAAAATGCAGGGTAATACCATTAAAGTGGAACGTTCACTAAAATATCTTGGGGTTGTTTTAGATTTTCGATTGACATGGGACAATCATATTGAATATATTACAAACCGGACCGGGTTTATTTTTCACTCATTTTCCCAAGTAGCAAAGAAAGAATGGGGCCTCTCCTCTGCTGCCATCTCTACCATTTATGATGGAATCCATATTCCAATTATTACTTATGCGTGTGGCTCTTGGGGATGGGCCACACGTAAGGTGCACCCTAAAAGAAAGCTTTTATCTTCTCTGAGACGCACACTCTTATCACCAAGGCATACAGAAGTGTGAGTAATTGCTGTTTACAGGTATTAGGTAAAAATGCACTTATAGATCTTGCTATATCGCAAAAACTGCTGTTCCAGCAGCTTACATGGGAACAGACAATTCAGATCTCGAATTGTACACTTAGTTGTTATAATGATATTGATTGGCCAATACCGTATAGGGAAACTTTTTCACCAGACAGAACTTCTGATTGTAGTTTTACTAATTTATACAGTGCTGATATTTAATTAAATATTAAAAAAATATAAAATTGCAACGTTTAACAATACTTTGTTTCCGTTTGTTCATCCGTCGTTCACTCCACTTGACAGTCCACAAATTTACAAACACGGAGGCGACCTTTCTTTAGAGGCTACTGCCTCTGCAATAAAATGCAAATATGGTAAAAAAAACGTCCTCTGGTGCTATTGCCATTTTCACATAAAATTCATTTTGCAGAAAAAATAATAAATATAAANACTCCACTTGACAGTCCACAAATTTACAAACACGGAGGCGACCTTTCTTTAGAGGCTACTGCCTCTGCAATAAAATGCAAATATGGTAAAAAAAACGTCCTCTGGTGCTATTGCCATTTTCACATAAAATTCATTTTGCAGAAAAAATAATAAATATAAACATGGCCGACGGTATTACATTTAATTACATATACAAAAATATAAAATTGCAACGTTTAACAATACCGAAACAAAGTATTGTTAAACGTTGCAATTTTATATATTTTTTTTATATTTAATTAAATGTAATATCGTCGGCCATGTTTATATTTTTTATTTTTTTTCTGCAAAGAGCTGATATTGACCTATATACTGATGGCTCCCGCATTAATGATAAGGTTGGGTGTAGTTTTGTTATATACATTAATAATTCTGAAGTAGTACATCAAATGTATCGGCTTGACTGTAGATGTACTGTTTTTCGAGCTGAGTTATTTGCTATTGGGGTGGCTATCGACTATATTAATCATAATTATAATACTCTTCATGTTCATATCCATACGGACTCTATGTCTGTTTATAGTCTTCAGAACAACAATCTGAATCCACTAGCTCAACATATTAAGAGGGCTATTTTGGCTTCCCACTGTGTGTTCACTATCACATGGATTAGGGCTCATCAGGAAGTGCTGGGGAATGAGAGAGCTGACTCACTGGCTAAAGAAGGTGCTATGAATGACTCGCTGTCAATATCTTATAACAAGATTAGCAAACGTTCGTTACGTCATCTTCTATGGTTAGACACAATACAACTCTGGCAGAATATGTGGAACCAGAATAGTCAACATATTACCTTCAGTTTCATTCCGGATCTTCTGCAGTTTCTCAAGATTAATTGGGGCACTCCTGATTACTACACTTCACAAATTTTTACCAATCACTGTAAATATGCAAGTTATCTTGCTCGATTTACTAATAAGAATTCTAGACTTTGTCAAGCCTGTGATAAGGAAGATAATGCAATACATTATCTTTTTGACTGTATGATTTTTGATAGCTCACGCCTTGAGATTCAATTACTATTACAAGAACTGGGAATCATGTGGCCTTGCAACCCTTTTGATATTTGGCGTACAAAGGAAATATATTATGCTTTTAAGAGACTTGCTAGGCATATCAATACTGTAACTCACAATTCTATCTACAATTAATCGTCTTGGTCCCTGGTTCATTTAATGAAATTTGTAGCATCTACACGCGCATTTCTGTTGTGTAATATAACATATATTTTTCTTCTCATCCAGTGCAAATATTATGCAGATTGGTTGTCAATGCATCCTTACATATAATGTGTTTATGCGCCAGTTGCTTTGTATTTGATTTAATGTTATTTTAATTTTGTTTTTATTACATGTATTTTTATTCTATTTGTAATTGTTTCGGTTTTTGTCACGTTGTGTGATTTCTAATGTGATTGTTTGATAGCACGTGTTCGCTTTTTTTGCAAGCTTTTATTACTTAGACATTTATATAATCAATAGATTGCAAGTGTTTTGATTGTACTATAAAATATTACTGTTATTCTGTTTATGTCGCTATGTAAACTCATGCTACTATGTGATTATTGTAATTACGCGGCTAATTTCTTATATTGTCCATATACTAATAGGTTCTTGTAACAAATTTGACTGCGTGCTCACATTTGTAGTATATACGACACCATTGTATAAGTAGTTGATTGTAAATATCTGGTTATATTATGTAACATTACTGTCACTCTTTATAAATATGTACCCTCATATTACTGTGTAATTCTTGACATTACGCAATTGATTTGTTATACTGACATGTTTTTGAAATCAATTGTTGGCACGTGTCATGTTTATAGTATAAGATATTATTTTTTATATGACAAACTGAAAACAAGGAAATATTTCAGAGGGAAACTGAAATGGTTCCTTGTCTTTTTCTATCAACAATTTTTGTAAAGTATCGGTAAATCTTAGCGTTCCTTATTTATAACTACCAAGTCCGTGTTAACTACTTTTGAGCCCTTTGTCTTCCTTTTTTTTTCTAATCTTTTATTCCAGATTTTACCTATAGCACTCACTCACTTGATCCACTCACTCAAGTGATTCGATTTACATCTTGTATCACAACATGCAAACCTAAACCACCAGAATTCTATCGAAGTCAGTTCTAGGTAAGACATAAAACAGGAGAATTGCCGAGAAAACAGAGTAGTTGAAGCCTACTCTGTACGTGGAAATAATTCGAGATGGAAAAATTAGAAGTATTATCCGTTTCAACTCGTAAAGCTTGTTCGATTATATCTGAAACTTTTTACAAGGCTGAAATAAATTTGACATAAATAATGTAACCTTTCTTCATTAATCTTGTATTGTATTTAAAAAACTGTTTACATGAATAAACTCACATTCATCATAAATATAGCGTACCATTTGATTAGCCAATAATCGCTGCCATTTGTAATGGATTGTGCTACAAGTAGCATTAGTAATAACAATATCCTGAAGAGAAAACTTGATCCAGCATTCAAATATTCTTTATAGACTGAAATTCCTATTGTTCCAACTTCTACATCGTCAGGTGGTATTTTTTTATTTTCATTCTCCTAAAAAAGTATTTTTAGAATTATATAAAATATTCATTGAATTAGACTTAAATATATTAGAAAGTATTTCAATATAAATTTTCGAAAAAAGTACAAGGTACCATTTTCTTCATAAAACTGAAATTTGGATTTGTACACAAAATAAAAACCAACTCAGTATTTTCTTCAATACTTGTAGTTATATAATAATAATATAAACAAAGAAAACCGAAAAACAATTAAAAATATTTATCATAATACAGTATAATCAGTGATAATCGAAGAAAATAAATACAGTATAAATATTTTTCTGTACAAGTATAGAACTTCTCGTATCAAATCACTCCTTACGTGGAAATGAATTGCCGGTTATGGCAAACAGCCTGTATATTGCAACGTGATATTTACTTATATTTTTCAATAACTTTTCAAATGATCCCTGTACGTATTAATGAATCAGTTTATAATTTCATTGTAATAGTTTATTCCTAAGATTAAATAATTGTTTGTTTTAATAGAAAATATAGAGAGAATTACATACAGGAGTTCAGAAATAGAAACTTCCACATCTCATTTAATCTACACTAAAATAATTCACTCAGATAACTATTTAATACATAACAAATTCTTACCAAATTACTGTTGTTACAATCAATATTTTCAGTTTCACAAGACATATCAGTTTGAGTACTTTCAAATATTTTATCATCGTTCAAAAGACCAGTTTCTAATTTCATCCTATCTTCAGCGATTTCATTATCAGATGAAATTCCTGTAAGCATTTCTAAATTTTCTATTCTCTTATAATTGTCAACGATTTCAAATTTTTCCTAAAATAAATTTATAATATATATAAATAAAATAGTAAATTTAAGACTTTTTTAAATATATCTATATATATAATCGAGACGACTTAATAATAATAATGATAGTAACATGCACTGAAAAAATTAGCAAGTAGACAGAACTTGCCCATGAAATAAGGCATCTGTGGAGGATGGGTAGGGTGCTTATTGTACCTGTTGTTCTCTCCTGTACAAGTGTTATACCACACACACTTCACAAAAGCCTGGGAATATTACAATTGAATGGAATACATACATTACACTACAGAAGGCCACTATATTGAATACATGCCTATATTGAACACATGCACTATATTGAATATGGCAATACATCCCAATGTATTGTATATGTTTAGTTATAGTTTATTTAAACAACACAGTTAACTTCATAATTGTTTTCTGATTCTAAACTTTATAACGTTAAATTGATGCGTTTTAAAATAGAAAATAATGTCATTTTTTTCACAAACTAATTAGAAAGAAAACTGGTAAACAAATAGTATCGTTACCTTATTTAACACTAAAATTTTACTTGCAGAGTTTAAAAATTGCACTTGATGCGTAACTAAAATACAAATCTTGTCATTCAGATATTCCATTATACATCTGAAATGAATAAAAAGCGAAAATGTATTTAACTATACCATACATAATACTTAAATACTTACTTTTCAAAGATATGTTTTGCTACTGGTACATCAACAGCACTTAGTGGATCATCAAGGAGGAATATATCGGCATCCAGATATAATGCTCTAAGAAACATAAAAATGACATCAGGGTAAACTAAACTTACTACAAAAGACAATAAATATATACTATACATAGTTTTTTTATTCACGTTGAGCTAATTATTGACCTAAGAGAAACAAACAAGTAGAGTAAGAGTTACTTTACCTTGCTAGATTAATTCTTGCTTTTTGCCCACCGCTCATTATCACTCCTCTTTCACCCACAACAGTTAGATCTCCTTTAGGAAATAAACTTATATCCTAAAATTGGTAAATGTAAAGTGCAATGTAATTATGTTTAATATAATATGCACTGAGAAGTAGAAGTCTTTTACACTAAATATAACTACAATAGATATTCAAGTACATTTTAGAAAATTTAATTAAATTAATTATAAGTATCATTAAATGTAACCATTTTATTAAGGTAAAAATCTAGATTGAATATGTACTCAGGCTAGTGCACACGATAATACTTTTTCCAAGTTTCCACCGTAAAAACATATCAAAAATAATTTGCACTTTCTTGTACAATACATGTTAAATTCTTAAATGATCGACATAATATATATATAGGCTATATTTTATCACATATAATGAGGACATAACTTGAAATTTATAAATTTACTGTTGCCGAACTTACATGTTTATTCATTATCATAAGAAATAAACATTTTACTTTTGCTTTTGACGCTTTCTTCTCTGACTGCTTGATTCAATTTTTTTTTATTAGATCCTGCATTGTTCAGTCAGACTTGAAAAAAGACAAGTGCACAAGAGTGATGAACGACATTCTGAAAAAAGCCTTTTATCTGAGCTTCTAAGATTTCTGATCTAAACTCACATTAGTGTCAACGATGTCATGAACTGAAGCATGCACGATTTAAGAATAAAAAATTTAAGTGTGATTTTGTACTTTATTGGCAGTATCAAATTATTTACTATCCAACCATATACACATTTTAAAAATCACTAAAAATGGTGTCTATAACTGATTAAATTTTTGTTACTTTTTTAAATTTATTCATTTATTATATTTTAATTTGGGTATAATATTGAAGTGTTAATAAAATTACTTTTTTTCAACGATCGATTTTGCAATCAAATAATAAAAACAAGCATAACCGAAATCAGTCTCCAGAAATACAGAACATCTTGGTCACTCAAACTAAATTTATTAATCAGAATTTAATAAATAATTAATTATAATGAGCTAACAAACATAATATACATTTGGGTTTAAAATAAACAGCAAGTATTGCCAACGAAGCTATGTCAGAATATACTAGCAGAATGTTTGACAATCATTACCAACAAATAACCGATTCGATCTCGTACATTTTTAAAATATTATACCGTCTTGTTTGTCTTCCAGTTACTTTTTTGTTCTTCCAGTTACTTTTCATTTTGTAGTGTCCTATACATTTCAGTGTTACTTGGGTAAACTACTAATGTATTATTGAGATATTCTCAGACAATTGTTTAGAAAATGAAACTGTAAAACCATCCTTTAACAAGTTTCAAGATACAGTACGACGATATCTAACTGAACGATAACACTTAATATAAATAATGACAGTTACAAGAACAAACTATAATATTGTAACATATTATATTATAATATATTATATATGTTATATATTATATAATATGTTACACATACAGTGGTACCTCGGTATACGTCCGATTCGGAATACGTCCTGTTTGGACGAAACAAATTTTGCTCTGTATATGACTTGTGTTCGGTATACGACTTAATACAATTATACGCACCATCTATGAACAAGTAGCCCTATCGGTGTACTAGACCAAACTAGACTTTCCGGTGCCACGATTTATAACTTTGTTAAATTTCTTCTGATTTTAAATTTTAAGTAAAATTTTATTATTTTTATTAATCATGAATTGCAAAAAGGCAAATGAAAAGCAACAGAAAACTAAAAAAATGACTAGAATCACAATGGAACTGAAAAAAGAGATTGTTGAGAAATATGAAGGTGCATGCATGTTCGAGATGTTGCATACCGTATTCCGAGAACGACGATTACGACAATCGTAAAAAATAAAGACATTATCAAATCTGCTAAACGTTGCGAAAGGAGTTAAATCAACTTCTAAACAGAGATCGAAAATATTAGATACTTTAGATCATGTTGAGAAATTGCTTTTGCTTTGGATAACTGAAAAACAGTGCGTTGGCGACATCGTATCAGAAGCAATTATTTGCGAGAAAGCTAAAAATATACATGCTGATCTCATGAAAAACCAAGCAGGAACTAGCCTAAAAAGCGAGGTGTTTCAAACACCTCGCTATTTTTTACATTAAAACGGATTAATCATTTTTACATTACTTATGGGAAAAGTTGGTTTGGTACATGTCCTATTCGGTATAAGTCCAAACATCAGGACGGATTAAGGTCGTATACCGAGGTTCCACTGTATTATATTTCCTACTGAAAAAAGTAAAAGTAAAATTAATAGAAATTTTACTCCATTTTTCGCAAACACAGTGTTTGATTATTTACTATAAAAATACACCGACAGTGTTATTTCTATACTCGGAATAAATGATTGTTTGCATATTTGAACGCATTACTTGTTTATTTCTGTGTGTAACTTAGGGCAGTTCGTAAAGTCAAACGAGTTAAACATGTTATTAACGAATCGTTCTAAAACTAATAGTTTTAAAAAACTGTTTTCAAAATGTAATTGTAATGTAATGTAATTGTAATGTAATGTAATTGTAATGTAATGTGTTCTAATTGTAATAACAATTAGAACAAGAAAAATCTGAATAATTCCTTTCAATTCAAATTATATTTTGTTATTTCTGTTAGAACTAGTGATTATCATTGTGTAGATTGCACAGTTAAGAGCACAATATGATCATAATTACGAAAGTTATTCCATTGAGATAATATTTTATACAATTAACGAAGCACTTACTGCTACAAAAAACAAAACCAAAATATAAAATCAAAAATATCATTTACACTTTACAATATTTTTTTAGTATTCTAAGAAATAACTTAATAACTAACAGCTTAATGTAGCATGTAAAAAATAATTCTTCTTAATTGAAGTTTTTAGACTATTTACAAAAAATTAAAATTATTCGAGTCTATCTTTTAAATCCCTTATACACCACCACAGAAGTAACAGTTTAAAAAATTGCTTTTAAAGAAAACTTCTAATGAAGAAAACACTTCTAAAACAGGTAAAAATTGGTAGAAAAGTCCACAAAGTTAAAAAAAATCAAGTGCCAGCCTGATAAAAGATCAAATAATGTGGATTTCTCGTAACTACCACTAGTGGGCCAGAAGCAGTTTAAAAGTGAATAAAATAATATGGAATGAAGAATTCATTATGGTTTTAGGCTGTGTACACACTAGGCGTTTTTAAACGCGCGTTCGACGAGCGTTTAGCAGAGCGTGCGCACTGGCTCGGTTTGGAAATGGATGTGGAAGTGATTGCTTGTGTGTGGCTCCTCTATCGTCGCTATAAAAGACGACGACAGAGGCAAAAAGAATTTTGGGCGCACCCAATATTACGAGATAGACTGACGCATGAAATGTTTGCGACGTTGCATCCAAAACTAAGACAAAATAAATTCAAGTTTTTTAATTCTTTTAAAATATCTATAAAATCCTTTGACGATGGTTGGTCTCTTTTAGATTTCATCAATAAATAGATAAGTATCGAAATGATCGTTCTCCATTTCAGCACATATATCTCAAAGCGCTCGGCTAACGCCCGCAAAACGCGCGATCGAATGTACATACAGTAACTAAAAGAAAAGGCTGGCATTTGATCTTTTTTAACTTTGTGGACTTTTTCTACCAATTTTTACTTGTTTTAGAAGTGTTTTCTTCATTAGAAATTTTCTTTAAAAGCAATTTTTTAAACTGTTACTTCTGTGGTGGTGTATAAGGGATTTAAAAGATAGACTCGAAAAATTTTAATTTTTTGTAAATAGTCTAAGAACTTCAATTAAGAAGAAAAAAATACATCCTGAGTTACCACGGAAATTGTAACTAAAAAGTAATTGTCGTTTAATTACTAGTTGGTATCAAACAACTTTTCGACTTCAATGAAGATAAGTAATCCAAATCGTGGCTAATAAATAAATAAAAAATAGCGCATTACCTTTTCTAGAGCAGTTATATACAGAACTTTTTTATATTTCTCCTCTTCGTATTCTTCTCCGAACAAGATATTTTCTCTGATTGATCCGTTGAATACCCAAGCTTCTTGAGAAGCGTAAGCAATTTTTCCCCTCACTATCACTTTACCGGAAGTAACAGGAATTTCTCCCAAAATGGACAATAAGAAAGACGTCTAATCAAATTAATAAAACGTTTTATTACTTGATATGAAAAGCTATGTGTAAATAATATAAGAACATAAGCATTTAAAATGTTAGTAACATAGAGAGTAATTCCTTAAATCCTACCATACAGAAGTTATGTAGGTACGATTTAAGATTACATTTTAAACAAACATAAAAAAATCATTGAATAAAGTTATTAGGATTTCGTTTCCAGTAAACAACTACTAAAATACTGCGGAATGAACACTTAAAAAATACATGAATTTATCAATAATTTACTTGCTAGAAAGTTATCAAATATATCGAGAAAATTATAAGAAAACAACAATAAACTTATTTGTTGAAAAAATTTGATACTACGCCGTCTGAGACAGATATTCACTCTGTGAACCAATATATTTGACTGAACTGTATACTACATCTTATTGGCGGCAGACCCGCTATTTCCGTGATATTAAATTCAGGCACTGTACAATTTAGGCAATGGAACGTGTTGAGCAACTTCACTATATGCAATGAAAATAATTCGAATGTTCGCTACTTCATTAAAATAAGAGTTTCAGAACAAATAATAAAGTAATAACAAATTATTGGGTTAATAATTTTGCATAAGAACCATTTGTAGATAAAATTGATTATATGAATAAATTTTACGAAATGTAATTATAAATATGCTTAGATCCAGTTGTGGGTAAAATTTGACTTGTTAAAAATCATTTTCATTTAACTAAGAAATGGATGAAAAGTTAGATTCTATAACAGATTATTCACACAATAACAATACAAATTATTCTCTAACTATTTTTTCTCTCTCCCTACATCATGTAACGAATTTCCGCTGTAACTATTCAACAACATCAAATTATTTAACGTGACAATTAAGTATGACAATTTAAAAATGAATTTTATTGCAATTACATAAAAGGTTAACTTTTAAATTTTTGTTAACTATTCTAAACAAGCATTATATAACAAAGGATATAAATAACTTAAAATATATAATCAGACAGACCTTTCCTGATCCGACAGGGCCTATAACAGTTAATAATTCTCCAGGTTGTACGTTTATAGATATATCATTTAATGTTGGGTAGGTTTCCTTTTAAAAATTCAAAGCGTAAAGTAACTAAATTGTATATAAATAATCTTATACGTTATAAATTAGAAATAATATACCATTAAATTAGATAAGAATAACGTAAATATATTATTTAATAAAAAAGCTGATAGTAATTTATAAATCCTAAAATTAGTGTCGAGTTATTCATATATATTAAAGGTACACTATGCTATGACAATTGCTTGTATACCAGAAGTTCTGTAATCTCTCCTGTCTGTAAAATATAGGCGATAAAAATATATTGTGTCTTGTCTCGTATTATCCCTCAGTTCATGCCTTGAATCCGTAAGATGCCAATACAGCATTTTTTGACATTGGTTTTTCCAATTTTTGAAAAATCTTAAATCATTCGTTTACTTTTTAATTTTTAAGTCACAAAAATTTAGTACATATGTTTGAACTGCGTGACTAGTCTATAAGCTAAAAACACCTGGATTCCCCAGACGTCATCTTCTTCTTTAGGTTTCTTTACATCAGTAAAATTACATAAGCTAGGAACTTGTGAGCCTTGAATTTAATTAGCATTATTCGACACATTGCCAATTTAAAATAAATAGACCAAAAATGCCACTTTTATATTCTGTGTTTTTCCTTTATACTTGGAACATCGTTAATTCAACTCAAATTGTGAGAATCCAACTGTAACTCACTTTAATTTAACCTTAACGACCCAATCTTAATCGTGAACGACGTCATACATGCTCACCAATTGTTGTCCTCAGCTACCCGAGAAAATCTCCACTTACACGTTCCCGACAATGAAAACGACGCACTTCCGCGATTTTTTGACCTTTAGGTCAAACGAGAACAGATGTCGAAATCGACGGTCGAGATAAGGAGTCCTCGCCCAGTCTTCGAGAAGTGTCATCATCCCGGATTTTTTCCCAATAAGTAACGGTGTCACTGCAGAATTGGATATCTCCCCTGGACATTGGATAATTTTGTGCAGAAACCATGGATAGCCTTTCTTTACAAGAAATATTGGATAACCTTCTCAACAAGAAGAAGAACGTGGACATTCGTGAACCTGCATGGACATTCGCTTCTCCAGGTATTTAGCAACCCGCAACCACTAAAACTCACTTTCTCTCTCTCTGAATATCGCGGAAATTTGATTAAGTTCACCCAAGTTTACTTATTTTAATCCCAATCGGGATACTCTCGTATTGTAATCTAATGTTTTATATCTTTAGAAATAAACGTTGTTTCTTTGACCTAGTCTTTCCGTGAGTCACTTCCAGTGTGCTGTCTCTCACTTCATCCCAAATCCGTTCGCTCACACACGCGATCGTTTGCGCTAGAAAACGGTTTCTGTGTCTGTCCGGAAATAAACAGTGGTGTCAGTCTTGACGAAATTTGTCATTGCTATCTTCGCTGACGCGGTGTCGACCCTTCGGTCCTATGGTGCCAAAGTATAGGAGGGCCTTTCGGCATTGTCACAAAATTATCTGATGTGCTTATTTTAAACAACGCGATTTTTTCATCTCTGGTTGTTATGTTGCATTCTTTTGGCAAAGAGACATCAAAAACAAATGTAATCGTACAATGCTCTCATTAAATTACATTAAATTCACTCTATTCTATATAATAAACAATGTTGTAGTAATGAAGCCAGTAAAAAGAAGTAAGACACTCATAATTTTAATGTTACGACAAAGTTCCTCATAGAATGGACATATGAAAAATAAATCTTTTCGAGAAACAGATAGTTTGTGCAGTTTTAGATTTCTAGCAAAATTACAGCTTTTTTAATAGTAGGAATTCAAATGCAATTTCATGAATAATTTTATATAGTGTGCTATTTAATTATTATATCTGTGTGTTTCTGTTAACTGCTAAACATCTGGTGTAACTTCAGTAATTTTTTAAAACATCATTTTAAAAAATTACTCAAGCGATGACCAGTTATTCAACATAGGAATATTTAATAACTGCTAATACATTTACATTAAAATCAGTGTAATTATATAAACTAAAACAGCTACGGCATTCATTTCAAAACTTATAATAATTGAAATTATATTAATTACGTCTTACTTTTTTCCATGTAGCCGTGACATTATTCATCCATATTCCACATTCGGTTAAAATTTTGCTCTCTTCTACAGCTTTGAGAGTCTCGTCATCTTTTTCTTGAAGAAGAAGGAAATCCTAAATCACAATTCGAAAAATGTTACAAGAAGTATTACAACTATGTCCCCGTAGTTTAATAAATTTAGGAACAATGATAGTGTTAGATATCAGAATGCAGTAATCCATTCCATTCCATTTTATTTTTTAAGTTATAATGAGCGTTCTATGACTAATTGAATTTAAAACTTATTCTAATGACAAATGATAATTTATATACTAGTTTATATTGCATTAGTTTATATTATATCGAAAGCAGTAATACATTTGGTCAGTCATGCAGGCGCTAATCTGCCCAAGAAAAGATGATCAGCAGAAGTTATATGAAATGTTTGTTTTCCAGGCTATGATATTGTATCACTCATTAAAATACATAAACTGTTGCTATTCACAGAAATAGATGTTTATTATCAACCGTCGTTAAATTTTAAAGTATCACGATTAGTTACAATCTATTAAAAATTATATCAATATCGTTTCTTTACAGGCATATTGTAAACTAAAAGAACTATTTATGTGACATCTCACAAAAGCCATAGTAGTAGTTAAATTGTCACATTTCTATCAAGCATTGCAAATATACCATACGATAGTTATGAGTTTTCATATGGATATAAGTTTAGTAACGAAAATTTCTTCTCATCATATGCCTTATTCTGACCACAACGTCAGACCCACGTTTATTTGTAAATATTTATAACTCGAAAGAATAAAAATATTTATAATCACAACATACTTAAAGGCCAAAAACCTTGTTTATGATAGGGCAAAATTTCCAAAAACTAGTGAATATCAGTAAGTAATGCAGATGCGTACTTTTAAACTTTTAACACAGATAATTTGCTCCTGATAGATCGTAAAATGAGGTGGTTCGAGTCAAACTTAAAAACTTGTCAGTAAATGTCAGTAAATTTTAAAACTTACGATGTTTGACAAAAGTTACAAATTATAAAGTTTAAAATGTTTACAACGTAGGTTTCCACAAACACACAAAATAAAATAAAGTTCAAATAGTCCAGTAATACTGAACAGGTTCGTCGAAAAGATTACTTACAAAGTAATCCTGAGTTGTAGATAGATGTAAGCTCCTTTTGGCGTTGGTAGAAGAAACAGCCAGACGAATGTAACCTTCCTCGAGCTTAACGATAACAAACTTAACCTAACCAAGTTCCTTTCACTAACGTGAAGTCCTAAGCCAAGCTTAAGTTCTAAATACTCTGTCTGCAATATTTTCTACATCTGATAATTCTGTATACATTGTTATTCTGTAATAATATTTCATTGTTATTCTGTATTAATTATTCTCTCTGTAATATTTTGTATTTAACTGATTGTTTTGTATACACTGTTAATATGTACTATTGTTAAATGTATATAATTTTTCTCAGCTGTGCTCTTGCAGTGCTGAGTATGTGCCTCGAGCACCTAATAAAAACGATTGATTGATTGATTGATTGTTCGATCACCTTCACATCGTCTCCGCTGTTTCTGTCTGTTACGGCTATGATTGCCCGACATCCCGAGCTCATCGTCTTCCCAAAACCACTGGTCATTTTTAATATCGACTTCTGCAGCATCAACTAGTTTGAAACAAAATTTAAATAAAAAAGACAAAAAAGGCGGAAATCATGCTTTGAGACGATTTTAATCCTGACAGTTAAGATAACTCCATTATATATTTTGTGCCAAATTTTACTCAAATCGGTGACGGTGTAATACTTATTGTTAGCGTTATTAACGAAATTCTCTACCCTGTTCCTGATGGTTTACTGAATTAAAGTGCCAGTCTTGGAGGCCAATATCGAGTTCAGCAAAACAGACAGCTGCCAAGGGAGGCAAATTGCTATAGGCAGCAAAATGGTCTGAGGAATATAAAAATTATAAAACTAAAAAATTATTTTCAGATAGTTGTTTTTTGAATCTCTTGAAAATAATTAAAAAATTATATTTTCCAGGCCGGGCCCTAACATTTTTCAAATAAAATTACAATATGCCTGTATTTTAATTAGACGGTAAATAACTATCTTGCTCAAGATGACATAATTGCTAAATTAGTCCAAGGTCCCTCCACTGCTTTGTAAAACACGAAAATTTTAGACAGCTCAGTTTGGAAACTCCAAAATGACTACAATGGAATCTCTGTCACTACAATGTCCAGCTTCATCCGTAACCAGCTACTCCCCCATTGTGGGTCTGCAAAACTCATAGTGTAATATAACAAAAAAAAATATCAATCTTAGTGGCTAAGGCCCCAAAAGCGAAAGATTAGATTAATAAAATTTGTAAATAATTATTAAATATTATTTATAAATTTTTAAATAAAATATTAATATTTTCGAATAATTTTTAAAGTAAAATTGTAGATATAACTTAAACTCTGAAAACAACAATTTGTTAAACTGTTCATTACCTGAAGTCTCTTCAAAGAAACCAAAACTTCTGCAGCACAATCTGCTGCACGTGAAAATAGAATGGTAGTGCTACCGAAAATATGTGCAGAAGCAGCCATAGTAATATATATAATTTCAGCATTCAGTTGTCCTCCATTTAAGAAAAATGCAAGATATGTGAGGGAAGTAAATAATCTACATATAGGATAACCCAATATATGCGCTATTCCTCTTGCATATAAAAACACTCGAACTTTTTTCATTTCTTTCCTGCAAATATAAACAGTTCGCTATAACAAATTATAGAACTTTGAAAGTAATTGTGAAAAAAACAGGAATGGCAGAAATACAGTAAAATCTGTGTAAAGCAGAATTACACCAAATCATTTTCTATTGATCAGGTAAGTTTCCAACTTGAATAGTTTTTATTTAACTTAAAAAAAGTATTTTTTCTAAGCAATGTTTTATACAAGTTTTACTGTATTTAATATCACTTACTCTCTGATTTTCTCAACTAATGCAGCATATGGCAATTCCCAGGTGTACATTTTAATTAATCTCATATCAGCAATCATCTCGTTCAACAGGTTCATTCTTTTATCTCCCAATACAGCTGCTTGTAATCTATTATTATGGAATTATGTTTAAATATAAATATATACTTTTACAAAAATAAGCCTATATAAAACTACATTATAAATATTAATTTTGTTTATGTAGTTACTATTTTCTTTTATTCCAGTCACTAACTTTACTTTTTTGCTTATTTAATATTTAGTGGACATTTAGTAAAGTTTTTTAACCATCTGAATTTGAACTCCTAACATTAAAAAGAAAAAATATGAAGCCACAAATAATGTTATTCAAATAATAAAAAAATAGTTGGAAAAGAAATTTATACAACAAAATTAACGATGAAAATTAATAATATAGACACGACGTTCTACTATGCCTTTTTAAATTCCCGGATCAGTAACATATCTAAACATATTTTTATTTTTTTTCTAAATAAGTTAGCTTCCTCGTACCTCAGTCGCCACTCCTAAAAAATTATGTGCCAACCATTCAACACTTTCCTATTCAAACCTAAATAACACTTTAAAATCTCTGTCTTCTGGAGAGAACATAACTTATAATATTTAATCTTTCGTAGATTAACTACTTGAGCCATGGTTAAACATTAGCAGGAAATAAACCTAGACGAAAGTAACAGCAAACAACACTTTTTGCACTTGAGTCTACGTATGAATAAATGCGTGTATTCTGAAGAATATGCTACATACTTCAAATAAATGCTCACTTTTATTCATACTACTAGCTGCAAGGACTCGCTTCTCTGGGTTTTTATTTGTTCGTACATTTGTATGTAATATAGTTTTTATATATATATAAAAGACTGTTTTTCTAAGTAATCTAGAATCTAGCTGCAAGGACCCGCTTCGCTGGGTTTTTATTTGTGGCAAAAAGTAACGATAGTGAAGATTAAGATAATTACATTATAGCCAATTTTACCCGTTTTCACAGAATGCAAAAATTAGGTCCCCCGTTTCCAGACTAATTAGAGACCTGGTCCCGATTCTATTTCTGAACGTCTCCTGTTCACGTCAATTCAAACGAACTATTTTCAACGTTTCTGGAACGTTTACAATCGTTCTGTAATCGAACCAATATTCGAATTTGATCGAATTTGTTTTGTTCGAATTTGTTCGAACAAATTCGCACAAAACATTCGAAATAGAAAGCCACTTTCAACCACTTTCAAGCCCATATCTCCCGCACCCTTATAGCTATCGAGACGCAACCACCCCTATGCACGAATGGAGACTTGGGGCTACCACCACATACAAACACCATTCACGTGAGATGTGTAATTTTGGCGAAAAAGTGAAATATAGGGACATACATGTCCATTTATATATATATATATATATATAACAAAATTTTCATTCAAAAGCATTTGCTTCGTGCTGATAAGAGTTTCGCCTCTATGTTTATTCATGTGACTGAAAGGATTTACAGTGGAATTTCGCTTAAAGAGCATAATTCGTTTCAGAATCTTATTTGTAATGCGAAACACTCGTTAAGCAAAAGAATTTTTTCCATATGAATTGGTGTAAAATACGATAATGCGTCCCACGCCGAGAAAATACTCAAATATTTTATGTATAAAGTTTATTCAAAGAACATTATACAAAATGCATTCTTAAGCAGCGTGAATCATCATCATCTTTTCTTCTAGCATGAAATGAACCAACCTGTAGTGAGAATTCGATTTGCAGAAAACAAAAAAAATCACAGATAATATATCTGATAAACATGCCAAACAATGTGCCAAATCCTTGGACTATGTAGAGGCTATGATTAAATATTAGAAATTAATTAAGTTGACTAGATGCAAGCAGTTATGCTGCCATCTCGTATTAAATTTAACAATTATAAATAATTAATTTTTAATTTAGATGTTTTTAAAATTGAATTTGGAATTGGTCATTAAATTTAATACGAGATGGCAGCATAACTGCTTGCATCTAGTCAACTTAATTAATTTCTAATATTTAATCATAGCCTCTACATAGTCCAAGGATTTGGCACATTGTTTGGCATGTTTATCAGATATATTATCTGTGATTTTTTTTGTTTTCTGCAAATCGAATTCTCACTACAGGTTGGTTCATTTCATGCTAGAAGAAAAGATGATGATGATTCACGCTGCTTAAGAATGCATTTTGTATAATGTTCTTTGAATAAACTTTATACATAAAATATTTGAGTATTTTCTCGGCGTGGGACGCATTATCGTATTTTACACCAATTCATATGGAAAAAATTCTTTTGCTTAACGAGTGTTTCGCATTACAAATAAGATTCTGAAACGAATTATGCTCTTTAAGCGAAATTCCACTGTAAATCCTTTCAGTCACATGAATAAACATAGAGGCGAAACTCTTATCAGCACGAAGCAAATGCTTTTGAATGAAAATTTTGTTATATATATATATATATATATAAATGGACATGTATGTTTCTATATTTCACTTTTTCGCCAAAATTACACATCTCACGTGAATGGTGTTTGTATGTGGTGGTAGCCCCAAGTCTCCATTCGTGCATAGGGGTGGTTGCGTCTCGATAGCTATAAGGGTGCGGGAGATATGGGCTTGAAAGTGGTTGAAAGTGGCTTTCTATTTCGAATGTTTTGTGCGAATTTGTTCGAACAAATTCGAACAAAACAAATTCGATCAAATTCGAATATTGGTTCGATTACAGAACGNTATATATATATATATATAACAAAATTTTCATTCAAAAGCATTTGCTTCGTGCTGATAAGAGTTTCGCCTCTATGTTTATTCATGTGACTGAAAGGATTTACAGTGGAATTTCGCTTAAAGAGCATAATTCGTTTCAGAATCTTATTTGTAATGCGAAACACTCGTTAAGCAAAAGAATTTTTTCCATATGAATTGGTGTAAAATACGATAATGCGTCCCACGCCGAGAAAATACTCAAATATTTTATGTATAAAGTTTATTCAAAGAACATTATACAAAATGCATTCTTAAGCAGCGTGAATCATCATCATCTTTTCTTCTAGCATGAAATGAACCAACCTGTAGTGAGAATTCGATTTGCAGAAAACAAAAAAAATCACAGATAATATATCTGATAAACATGCCAAACAATGTGCCAAATCCTTGGACTATGTAGAGGCTATGATTAAATATTAGAAATTAATTAAGTTGACTAGATGCAAGCAGTTATGCTGCCATCTCGTATTAAATTTAACAATTATAAATAATTAATTTTTAATTTAGATGTTTTTAAAATTGAATTTGGAATTGGTCATTAAATTTAATACGAGATGGCAGCATAACTGCTTGCATCTAGTCAACTTAATTAATTTCTAATATTTAATCATAGCCTCTACATAGTCCAAGGATTTGGCACATTGTTTGGCATGTTTATCAGATATATTATCTGTGATTTTTTTTGTTTTCTGCAAATCGAATTCTCACTACAGGTTGGTTCATTTCATGCTAGAAGAAAAGATGATGATGATTCACGCTGCTTAAGAATGCATTTTGTATAATGTTCTTTGAATAAACTTTATACATAAAATATTTGAGTATTTTCTCGGCGTGGGACGCATTATCGTATTTTACACCAATTCATATGGAAAAAATTCTTTTGCTTAACGAGTGTTTCGCATTACAAATAAGATTCTGAAACGAATTATGCTCTTTAAGCGAAATTCCACTGTAAATCCTTTCAGTCACATGAATAAACATAGAGGCGAAACTCTTATCAGCACGAAGCAAATGCTTTTGAATGAAAATTTTGTTATATATATATATATATATATAAATGGACATGTATGTTTCTATATTTCACTTTTTCGCCAAAATTACACATCTCACGTGAATGGTGTTTGTATGTGGTGGTAGCCCCAAGTCTCCATTCGTGCATAGGGGTGNGCATTTGCATATTGTTTGGCATGTTTATTATATAACGGGCTATGGTTGTTGTTTATACGTACGTAATATGTGTAAACATAAGTGTGAAAAAATGTGTGATCACAAGTGATACTAAGATGCTAGCAGAACAAGTGCTAAACACAGAATGATAAAGCATGCGCACAATCCGGCACTTCCCCTCTCCTTGTCAATCGTTATGCAGAAACATTGCTCGTTAAGCGAGTTATTTTTCACAATTTGTTCTTGCTCGTTATGCGAATTGCTCATTAAGCGATGTTCCACTGTATTGGTAAAAAGCATGTGTGGAGGCATGTTGGAGAAAGATAGCTTACAAAGAATATGCAGTAAACAGTTAAATATAAAAGTTCAAATGTGTTCATTTAAGGCTGCATATCAGTTGAAACATGAAAATTTGCGGTAATTAGATAAATAATAAATAAACATGTTTACTCGAAATTATTAAAAATAGTCTACATCAGCGCTGTCCAACTTATCATAGCCCGCGGGCCATATTTTCTTCACCAAACATTTCGGGGGCCAAGAAGGTTGATAAATGAAAAGTCAGTTTATGTTAATTTAAAAAATATTTCATTTATACTAAAAAGAAAACTTTAAAATATTCGTAATATATTAATGAGAACATTGTGGCCGTAATTTTCACATAGTAAAATAATTTTAATATTAATAATAATAATTTAGTAACATAAATTTATTCATAGTAAAATGTACTCGGGAGCCTTAAAAATTATTTGGCGGGCCGCCAGTTGGACAGCCCTGATCTATAGCAAGATTTGTGAAGTTGGAAAAAGCCTTAGAATAAAAGCAGTATGCATCTTTTGCTGGCAGGTTGCCCGTGTGTTGCGTGTTTTATAATCCATCAATTTTAAAAATAATATAACAGGAAACAAATACCTGGAACCGAACAAGATGGATCCGCGATAAGTAAAGAACCGAAATCGTTGGAAAATAATTAATTTAATCATTCAACAGGAAGTGGCCACAGAATAAAATAAAAATTTATATTAAATAAAAAATTTATTTGAAGGTTGTCTTTCTGATAGAATTTACTCTGAAGTTTTATTTAAGCTAATGGCCATATTTAAATTAATTTATTAAATAACCTGATACTTATCAAGGAAAAATACTGATGTGTGTGTCGTTAAGGAAAACGTTAGAAAATATTTTTAGAAAAGATAGTTAGTTTCTAAGCTATAAATCTGAGTTAGGAAACAATAGCTGAAGGCAATTTGAGAATATCTCTTCTAATGATATTTCAATTATGTTCACATTGTTCGATGTCGCGTACAGAAAAAGTGTCTGAAAATTAATAATAAATAGATAATTATGAACAATTAAATCTTATTATTAATTTTATTCCCTATATTATATTCTTCCGTAGAAATTTTGCATTTATACGTTAAAAGGAATAAATTTAAAATATTTTAAAATAAATTATACGAAATCTTTACATTTAGGGGAGACCGGGGCAACTTCGGCATGCGGGGCAAGTTTGTCAAGCGCTTTTTTTAAAAAACAAATTAAAAGGAGACTTTGGTTATAGGTTAGGCAGTTGAGTTTTATTGGTGGCTTGTTGAGTGTAGTGTTTTTATTGTTCTCCAACAAGCGTAGTTGAATTATCAAGCAAATTTTCATTTTCGTT